CTAAGGTTTTTGCTCCCCTTCCAAAAAAATGCAGAAAATTCTGAATATTGTGGCTGCACCTACTATTGAGGATTCTGGGGGTGTAAAAGAAATGCTGATGGTTGCTGGAATGCCCATGTGTGCTTCTTGTTTACATCATGATTACACAAGTTAATGGAGAAAAATTGCCCAATTCTCCCAAGAACAAGAGTGTAAAAATTATGACTTTTATTATCACAAGATATTCCTCCCATACCTGAGTTTTTACTCAGTTAACTGAAAGGTAGAATTAGTAAATTTTATATTTAGCAAAGTTCTGTCCTTTTGCTTTCAAAATTAAAATTGATAATAAGATTTTGAGGCTCAATTACACTTTTCATATAATTTATGAATTGGAATCAATCCTCAGTAATTGCAGAGACCATTTTATATCTTGAAAACAAAGTTATATTCTTATATATATTGACGTAAACAATCTACAATCTATAAAAGCCACAATCATTATCTTAAATGGAATTTAGATTGCCCTGAAACCGTGCCATAACCTCATATTCCTGCACTAAGCAATTTACCTGATAGAATAAAGAACATTTCCATTTTTAAAAATTCGTAGCAATTTGTTGTCGGTGGTTACTTCATGAAAATTGGCACCCTTTTCATTGGCAAAAAATAAATCAGGTTTCCAGATTGAATCCAGCATAGATGGATCTAAATCTAAAGAGTCATCTGGATATTCACTATAAGCAAGGCGTGGATCATTCCAGTTCTGACGGAGAAAGATGTTCACTCGATAATCCTAAAGAAAAAGCAAAAAATGAAAACAGAATAGCTCTTTTGATTGTTTTGTTTAATGGAACAATATGTATTTGTCTGATTAATGTAAACAAATTCTTTAGCCTTATACATATTTTAAAGATATACTTTTAAAATACTAAGCATATTATTGTATGAAACCTAACCGCACTGAATGAGCACATACTGATCTCCATTTTCCCCAGGAATTTGTATAGAAGCAAAGTTCTCAAATGCTAGAGAATATATTGTCTAAATGATTGACAAATGCATTGTTTTGTATAAACACAGAGCAGAATATTTACAAGTAATTTCACGTTCCTGTAAAGTGGTTATTAAATAAACCTTACATTCACTCTTCTCTTCTCTTTTCCTTCTGCATTTATGAGAAAGAAGTAAAGTCTACCTTCTTAAATTAACAGAG